AATAATAGAAAAGTTAGGCTTCTGTTGATGTTCTTACAGAGTATTTTGTATTATACATTTCTCTATTAATCATTCATATAAGTATATTGGTAAATGTAAAAACGACATCTAATTAGAGAAACGTCGGGGGCTATAATCGTCTAGAATATGCTAAGTAACTATAATGCAATGTAACTAAAAATAAGCAATTCAAGTTGAAGAGAAAGCAAATCATGCATATTATTTTCGTTTGTGTAGACCTTAATTTAAACATTATATTTGTATAACAACACGACAATTTTTTAATGTATATGTTTCAAGACCGAAAATTATTTATTTCAACGCGCAGTTTATAGAACCTATGTAGATATAAAACATTTATTTAAGCACTAAAATCCAGCTCAAGATTTTACTTAATTGTGTAATGACACAGTCTAATGACATTTTATTGTTGTACATCCATAACTTGATTTTAATAACCGAGAATTTTAATGACAAAATAATTTTTATATTAATCAACATAGTTTATTATTATTATACAATTTCAAAATTGTTCAATTAGCGAGAAATTATAGACATGACGTTACGTAGTATCGATATTATTTAATTAAAATAATTTAATAAAAAACATAAAAACCACCGTTTAATTTTTCGCTATAAACTCGATGCATTTCGCGCAAGGTTAGCGTTCTGCGGAATTAAAAGTATTATTGGATATCACCACGCGCGTTTTATATTACATCGTTTACAACGAAGGTACGAAAATCACTTGGTAACGCGAACGTTTATTTTTCTCTTGCCATGCTGAGCAAGCAACAGTCATTCATCTATTTATAACAGCATCGCGCTAACCACCATCCGTCGAGTCTATTATCGTGTATAAATATATAGATAGAGCACATAAAGAATGCTGATAAGATGGAATACTTGAAAAAATTATAAGAGAAAAAAGAAGCTGGCAACTATCGATCCGTCCTGTACAATGCAACATACGGAAATTACGTAATCGTTTAGGACGGCGAATTTTCTTTTGATTAACATACTTTTGTGTTGGTTTGTCTTTCTCTTTTTCTCTCATCTTTTGCCTATAATTACATTTATTCTGTCATGAACTACTCTGTCATTACTCTACTATGTATTATTTTCTATTCTTTTGAATTTTTCCTATCGTTCGAATTTAACGCCACAAAAAACCATAACCAATCATTCCTATTTTATTTACGCTATTTTATTTACGTGATTCACAATTTTAATACCTTTACTCCTTAAATAGCGAATTGTTTAGCTATCTAAAATGACATTCAATGTAATAACAATAAAATAATAAAGTGTCTTTCATATTTATTTCAATCCTTTTTTTATTCAATTTTAATTGATTTTATTGGGTTTGATAAACAATGAAAATATTTATTTTATTTCTCTACAATGTGTATTAATAATATTGGTTTTACAAAAATTCAGATTTGAAAAACGTGTATATTTGTATCATTATCATTACATAATTAAATAACATGTTAAAAAATATATAAATAAATCGTACAAATTTCAAGTATAACATACAGTATAAGAATATTTTATTTCATTTTTCTATTTTTGCATTTGTGATTTATTTCATGCAAGTGTAATTTGTCATTAACTTAAATCACAATTAAATTGCTAGTAACAATAATAAACGTTTTTTCTTGGAAGATCTCTTTCATCAACTTTTGATTAAATTAATCGACAATCAATTCATAGAAATGCCAATAACAGTTTAATATGTCAGAACGTCTTTCTCTTCTGATACGAACTGTATTTAGTTCTCACGTTGGCAATCGTGATGATTGAGTTAACCATCGATTAGCACTAATTACAATTGGTGAAAGAGATCCTTTTATAATAAATTAATAATTGAGATATTTGATTATTTATTTAGTAAATTATAATGTAAGCAAATAATTTGTATCATATTTTTATGATATTTTTTTTGTGTTAGGTTTTTGCATTCATCACATTTATACTGTAAACGTTCGTTCGAGATATTAAACTTCCATGACACATATTTTTAAACGTCGCCTAGAATCGCCTAGAATTACATGTTGAGCTGTATTATAGAGGTACGTCTTTCTAAGATATTCCAGAACTAGTATAAATCTGAATGTTCAAAGAGAGAAAGAGAAAGATTTAAAATAGGGGTTTTTTTCCCTACTATTACGGGGTCAGTGTATGCATAATCCAACTAATTACGAATGGAAATTTATACGGTATGTTATGCAACGCGCAAAGCGCTCGTCATCCAAGTTAGAAGAAAGACGAGGAGAAGTCGAGGAGGGGTGGGAGGAAGGGAGAAAAGTCGTCGAACTTGTCGCGTGTGGTCGATGTCTTGCAAGCTCTCTCGAAATAGCAACTGCAAGATGAATGACCGCGAAGTGATCGCTTTTAAGAGATTGCAGAATCCACAATCCGCATCGCCAACGAGATCGTTTCACGTTTGAAAATATACCATTCAACTATTGAATCCATCCAATTCATTATGTCTTATTAAAGCAGTTGCAAAAAAAAAGCTAAAACAATAACTGCACAATACTCTACAAAAATTTTCCATATTGAAGGAAAGCGGTTTTAGCTCATATTTCCTGTCTATTTTATTCAATAAAGATTGACATACTTTTATCACTTTGAACATTTTTCATAAAAAGATGTTTTATAGAAAAAAAATGATAATACTGCTTAACTATGAAAATAAATAATGAATTATTTAAACTTTGAACGTCTGAGGCTGTTCTTTGCATATTTGACATTATCTTTATTAAAGCGAGGCAAGATGTGCACGACACTCGAAAATATGTTAGCACAATTTCCTGAAAAGATTGCTTTTACATCAAGAGGAATTTTCATGAAACTTTAATTAAACGCGCCGTATTTTCGCGATTCGATCGCAAACCGCAAGTATCCTTACCGCAATGCAGAATACACGTTACAATTTCGTACGTGCATATGCCCAAGTGTATTCAACGTAAATATAACTTTAAGTGCCTTTTATCACAAGGCAGCTCAAAATTTATAGCCACGCGATGTTCACGCAATTTGTTTTCACGTACCTTAAGATATGAAATATAATAAGGAAAATCAAATGTCATCCAGTAATCCATTATTCTCATAAGACGCCGGTTTTCGGTTAAGATATATGAGTAACAAACGTGCGACAGACGGGTTGACGAATGATTACAATTTTCGAGGACGTATCCTTTTCCCAAGTATTTACGGGCTGTCTAACTTGTCTCTTAAATTTGTTTTTGCGCGAGCTTTAATTAAAAGCTTTAATTAAAAGTTTAAATGTATATATTTAATATTTGCGTTGTTCTAAAAATACATTTTATTTATATTTATTATTATATTTATTAAATATGTTTAATTGTTTATCGAAATTGTTAAACTCAGGAATTTATAACACATGGAATAAAATAAACATTCACAATAATGTTATTAAAATATTTATTAATAGAAATATTGTTTATTATTGAAAATATTTAATACATTTCTTGTTTACAATATTTCCTTTCTTCTTTCAAAATATTCGCTTTATTTACAAGATAACACTTCATACGTTTATTCTTCCTCCTTTTTATGATCATGAAGATTTACAGTTGTTCTAGCTTTTTTCGTTATTATTCTAGTCGCACATAAAAGATATTATCGTCCCATTCCGACGTCATATTCTACATAAATCATACACAGGAGGGCAATTACGCTATTTTTACCGGAAACGACATTGAACCAACTGGGGATAATTTTTCATAGCGGTTTCTACAAATTTAACAAGGTCATTCGATTGAATTTTTAAAATTCTACTGTTTTTTTTTTTTATTAAAAATAATAATTTAATCGACGGATTAAACGTCTGTGTTACTTGGCTGGTAATAATGTATTGTCACAAAGAATAACGATTTTTTTTCTAAACAGTAAAGCTTTGCTCTATCGGGCACAGCAAAATGCTCGGATGCTCATGAAAGACTTGAAAGGGAAAGCTCAACCATTCTCCGTCCGATGAAAATATTTTTCATGCAGCATGTAAGTCGTTGCATTCAGTGGCGCGAACGTAGGTGGACCTCAATGTCGGAGTTAAAAATCGCAGAATAAATAATTGAAGTGATAAAGCGGAACACATGTATAAATAATGAACACATAATTATGAAACATGTATTATAAGATAATAATTAAAATAAATAATAATAATTACATAATAGAAATTATTTAATAATAAAATGATTCGCATCAAAATAGAATCACATTATTTGAATTTTTCACTATGTTATTAATTAGTCATCGGTTATAACATGCAAATCGCATTAATTCTACTAAATAAATCCTTTTCCATGTCAGAACACAATTTTCTTAATATTTTTTCCTCATCTTGAATATCATCAATACAAAAACAATTTACGTACAAATACAGCATATCGTAATATTATCATACCTACGCTAAAAAAATGTACTATATTTTAATAAATACTTGTTCGAATAATACAAGCCGATAATTATTAATTTTTAAAAAACCATTAATTTAACTATCATTTTTTATTTAGTAAATATTTATTTACAGTAAAAATAAATGTTAAGTTAATATTATTAAAAAATGTTTATTAAAATTTAGTACATTTTTCTCAGTGTAATTTTTAAGCACTCTAGAATCATTTTAGCAACTTTGGAATTAAAAAATTTAAATGCAACTGTGTGAAAATGATTTTCATCATTCATCAGAAATTTATCGTCGCTGCTATTCGGAGGATTTTAGCCCCAGTCAAGAGATAATTTATCGTGCACTTCATATCGCAGGCGTGTTTTGCTTCCTCCAAAAATCTCTCGTCGGAAGCGAAGACAGGGGATGGTGGAGAGTCACGTCTAACTTAAACAAACTCTTCTGCTATGACTTTACGCCACTGAGAGCGCGCTAGGCCGTTGCGGAACATGTTCGTAGACGGCCGCCGGAGTATAAAGGCGGTCCAATGTAAACCACAAGCTCCATTTGTTGTTCGGTAAGCCTGAGGCTCACCGAGGGCGCCGCCGGACGCGGCTTTGTCTGTTGTATTTTCGTTGGCACGGCACCCGGTACCGCAGCCGCGGTATACCGAAGCCACGCAATCCGAAGGAAAGGTCAGCACGGCACCGCCGCATTCGACGACTTGTGCAAGACAGCCGCGCAAATTGCTGGGACACCTGATCCGCGCTCGGTCCTTTTATCGGCCACGCGATTCTTATCAGCCACGCGAGCCTTTGTGGAATATATACTCCGTGTCCCAATTCGATTTGAATACCGTGAGTGCGGTGCCCGCTAGTGCGCAAAACGTTGTCTTGATCGCAGTCTTCTCAGATACAATTAATTATAATAAAGGAATAATTGTTTATATTATTTTTATGGAATTATACATGTATATGCATTGCGATGCTTAGTTGTTGAAATTTTAAAGAGCTTTTAGATGATATTTTAATTATTTATCAAGAAATAGATTATGTGAAATTATTTGATAAAATTATTTAACACACACACACACACACACACACACACACACACACACACAGAAAGAACTGTTTGCTGAAATATCTAAAACTTTTCAGATATAAAAATAATTTTTTGTTAAACTATCACAATAAGTAAAACGCTCGAGTTGGTTTATTAGAATGTCAAAATTTTTTGTAGCATTGCTAATTATATACTTTCCTACGAAATATTTTGTTTTAACAAAATTATTTTCAGATCTGTATGATATTTTAATAAATTTTTAGATATTTTCAACAAAATTATTCTTTTCATATAAGTTATATTATTTCATTGAATTACATTAATTAAATATAACACTGAAATGTTATTGTATCTTTATTGATTTAATTGTATTTTTAGTGGAGTTTTTAAATATCCGAAAATTATTTTGCTCTAGGCAAACAATAATATCCGCTAATTATTGCAATTGTTAATTCCGAACGTAATACAATGATTTCAGGGACATGTAAATTTATTCGGCATTAATAGTTCGTCCATTATTGCAGCTGTAATATAGGATGAACTCGCGAATGGATCATCGGGAATACCATCGGCAAATGCAAGGCTGAATAATGCACTGTGCAGTGGTAATCTCGCGCTATCATTGTTATGACGTAGCCCGAGAGGAAGGATGCAGCACGGTAAAGGCGGATAGAAGACACGGAACGCTTGAAAAGGTGCATGTTCAGGTAATAAACTTCATACCGTGCTTTTGAGAAATTCTTTTCTTACTTTTATAAAGTTTGCATCTATCAATCCTGGTAGAAATATAAATCGAGGACATAATTACGGAACATTGAAAACTGAAGGATTTATAACTTAAAGAGAATTTTCATTTAATTTTGAGCCATCCACGCTTGGATGACAATGTTTTATATTTTATTATCTTTATTACAGATTCTGAAAAACAAATTCTTTTGAGCCTCAATTAGATTTGAGTTTATTTCTGTACTGTAAAAAATTACAATGTAATATAAAATTATAACAGTCATAATGTGAATAATTTTAGAACCCACTATTAAAGATGTATATTTACACATACGTGAAGTAAAATCGCAACTTATAAATAAAATTATATATATTCTTTATAATAATTATACAATTTGCAAAAGTAAATTTATAGTTGAAGTTAATACTTTGCGAATCGCGTATACATATATTACATATATAATTACACCATTTGACAGTAACAAACTATGGCTGTATCATACGAACTGGATCGCATATTTTTTAACGTAAATACGTACTATGTATTTAATTATGAATATAATTATTCTTGAATTACCAAACAATATTTCGTTTATATTTTATCTGTAACAATTGCATACAATAATAAATAGATAATGTACGTATATATCAATAAAACTGATATTTTTACGCGATGGCACTATGTCATTGACGGATCGGAAAATCCGGAACGTTGAAATTCGTGCGACGGTACTATGCCGTCGGCAAACCGCAGTGTTAAGTTTGGATAGTTTCTATTTGGTGACACAAGTCGACATAAGTGTCGTTCTATTTTTGTTACTGTCTGAATGCCAAGATAGAATTATATTATGTTTGTGAGTTTGTAAAATGACTTGTGTCACTCAATGGAAAATATCTTTATAGAAATATTTAATTTATTAATTTGTCACCAAATAACGTACAATATTTCTTAAGCTATGTTATTGATGTATAAACATAAAAATTAAAAAACCATTATATATATTATGTTATATTTTACAAAAATTTGTACATTTATATAGAAACTATAAAATATGTTATTGTTATTGTAATTTCTCTTCTATAAAGATGTATTGATACAATTAAAGATAAAAATACTAATTTTTGTAAAAACGACAAACAATTTTATATATTTCTACTATAAATTGTGTAATTTTTATACATATTTATATAATTGTACATATCTTTTTTTCAGTGTGCGCAGACTGACGTCTTGCTTTTACACGGTAAAGGTGCACGGCTATAATAAGAAGCAGAAGTGGAGACGGACACGTGTGCGGAAGGAGACGCGGTCCACCTCCGGCCCGCCATCCTGGCGGCATGGTCCTTTGGGCCACAATACTAATCCTTCAAGGAGCTGGATTTGTAGGTAAGCGCGAAAATAATAGAAAAGGTTACAAAATATTTTATGAGAGGACAAGGGAGAAAAATAGGGAGAAAATAGAAAAAATAATTTTTTGGAATAAAATCCGCAAAAGTAGACAATGAAAATTTTATTCGAGAAGAAATGAAAAAATTTTAATAGTTTTAACTATAAGTAGTTTTTAACAATATTTATAGTGGAAACTAAAAAAAGATACAATTGTGAATGAAATTTTCTCTAAGAAAGGATTCCATTTCTCTGATTGATCGACGAAATGAAATGGCAATAATTTTAGTACAACTAGTGTCTTGACAAGTGAATTATCGTATAACGACAGGTCCATATTGATTGTTCGCAGGCTCGGTGACAGGCATTCCCGGCGTTCCGGAAAACATAACGGTGATGTTCCTGAACCCAACGTCTGTGCGCGTGTCTTGGAGCACCAGCCAGGTCGAGCAGGTTGAGAAATACGACGTCACGTATAAGCCAACCGATGCCAGGTGCGTTCCAGTGATTCCGATATTGCGAGTCGCGCGCGGAAAGGTTCAGATTTTGATTTTGCAAATAGCATCCAAATGAAAACACTAGTCTCGTGTTCTATCGGATATCGGGTATTCCTTTCGAGAGAAATGGAAATTTCTCAATAAAACATATCATATGCCTGATTGCATTCGTCATAATGCCTAGGTATTCTCATAACTATAGTTTTTCGAAAACGAAGAAATTATTCTCAAAAACTATCGGATAATATCGACACGAATCTTTTTCAGCTTCAAAGTTTTTAGTATTTTTTTAGTACTCTTTCATAAACTTAATTTCGAATGAAATTCTCGTATCTCGCACGTAATTTTTTCTACGTCGTTCAACAACGAGTGCGCGAATTTTATCATTCGTGCAGCAAGAAAAATTTACTTATCCATAGAAATATTATAAAAGTCGATAATCCATATGGAATTAAATTATCATATTCAACATCATTTTTCGTTCGAAAATCTACATTTCTTTTTTGAACTTTTCTTTTTCTTGCACACTAATGCAGCTGAATTGCTGACATACTTTGATGTTCGCGAATCGCGACAAAATGCCGCATTGCAGACATTTAGGTTTATCGAATCTGGGATAGTGTATATGTATAAAAACAATTAACAACGACAACGTACGAAATGTTACAATTTGTGCCAGATATATCAACGTTATACTGAGAAAGAGTCGAGAGGATTGTAAGCAGGTCGGGTTGTATGTGACACGCGTGTGGCTGGTCTCGTGCTTGGTCTCGTTTAATACAATACAACAGCACGCATATTACACGCCATTTCGCTAATTTCCTTTAATCGCCAAGAACATCTAAATGTTCTCTGAATATAATCACGTATTCATGTTCAGAAAAAAAATTATTTAACTGGCACACGCTTATCAATCTGAATTTAAACTTTATATACAGGCTCGACAAGAATGAAAGATTATACATGCATGTATATCATTCTGTAAATGTTAGTGATCAAGTTGTTACCTCTTTCTTAATCATTTTCATACTTGGATCTATCTTTATCTGCATCTTTAAAATTTTCTTCTCTTTAATCTGAAGATTTAATGTATAACATTATTTTTATTTTTGTGCGACTTAAACTCAGTTAAATTGATTATTATCCAATTTTAAATTGATGCAGATGACTAGTAACAAGCTGACATTATTTGTCATCACTTCGACGACATTTTGACATATATCGTCACGTTGCTACTTAAATAAACAAAGATTTAAAGATGCAGCTTTAAAGTTTAATATTAGAAAAAGTTTAATATTAAATTGTATTACAGAGAAAACGCAATGAGAAAAATTTCTGATTTTGAAATGAACAAATTAGAAGATTCTGATCATATTAATCAGAATTTTGTTTATCTCAAATAAAGTTATAACAAATTAAACCTTCTGATTTGTCCATTTTCAAAATTAATATAACTAAACTTTTTTCCAGTATGCAATTCTTTTTAATAACATTTTTAAATAAAATTCCTATCGTTGAATAATTAGAATTAGATCTATTTATAGGTGAAGATATGATCAATTGAAGTGAAGATATGGATTAATTAATAAAATTATGAAAAGAGATTTCAGGATCTCTCTCGGCTGCACGGATTTGTCTTTTATCACGAAATAAGTTTACAGAGCGTTTAATGTAATGTGCATGTGTGAATTACATGTGCACGATATTTTTGAGCGAAAGAAAACAATTAGAGTCGTATATATAGGAACATATTTATGGTCTGAATGTGTTTACTTTTATCAGATCAGTAGATGCACTGAAACGTGCAGACTGCAGATGAATCACAATAGGATAAAAGGTTTAGAAACAGATTTATAGGCATTTTAAATTGGATGAGAGGATTTATCGAATCGATATTCGCGTCAATTAATTTAAAACTTTATATTAAATGAGAATTTTTACTTCTTTTTGCGGCACAGGAATTATGACGACAGGTATATCCCGCTTTTCTTTGAAACGACAATTTTCTTTTGCTTAATTCGTGAGTGTTCGTCAAATACGTCGCATCTTAAACAAATGACATATAACAAATGTTACGAATTTATTTTGAAATGTACAATATTTTAATTAGATTGAATTGATCTGTAATCATACTTACTAATTTTTAATTTTTTAAATGAATTTTATTTTAAAATAATATCAATTTGAGACATTTTTTATATTTAATTTTTTATCAAATCGACACTCAATTAATTTATATAATTGTGAAATTATTATTTTAACTTATGATTACATATATTTCAAATTCGACAAATCGTCGGCGCACAATCTATAGAACTGATAATCGTGTTTGTATATTGTTTGTGTATACACATAAATATATTATTAAACATCAAGGTTCGTTATGATAAAAAATGGCTTTTTTCTCTCTTATTAATTTTTTATATTTATTGATTAATAAAGTCAAACCTTAATTTACCTTATTTAATTTGTTAATGATGTAATTTGCCATAACGATTGAATGAATTTTTTAGATTCCATAAGTAATGTATCAATTATTTATATTGAAAAAGATAATGATATAAAATCTTTATTTTGTGATGAAAATTCTTTTGCAATGAGTTTTACATTATGAAAATTTAAAGATGAAATATTCTTATTCTTCTTTAAACCTTATAATTTTATTAATTAAAACGATATTACAATAGAAATAATATAGTATAATAGACGAGGATTGCGAAAATAAAAATTGACAATATTATTTATGAAACGCTGTCTTGTTGAATAGTTGTGTGACACAATATTATTTCTGAAGTAGGCAATATGTCATCGCGAATACTCACGAATTAAAAATTAAACAAGGTCGTATGTTTCGTTTATCATATTATGTACCAATACAATGATAATCCTATTTTATGCGGAGATATATATTTTCATGATACGTATTGATCCGTGCTATATTCGATGTTTAAATTTTTGTGTTTAGTCTTTCTTAATTATATTTAATATCGTAGTGGCAAAGCTAAATAATATAAAAAAAAAATATGAGATACTCTGTCTGATATTTTTGTAAAAAGTTTTTCATCGACTTAAAAATATATAGTTTTGTAACGAAGAATTATTAAAATTGATATTATAATTATAACAAAGTGATTTTCAAAATTTTAATTTAAATTCCAACAGAAATGTAACATTAAGACTTCACATAAAAGAAAAAGCTTAGAAATATTAACATAATAACAAAAAATATTATAAAGATACAAGCACTATTAGCAGCAAATGAATTAAAAAGCAGAGTTGTTTTAAAATCTTTTTTTTTGTATTTTAGAATTAAAATGCGTTTTCTGAAATTATCTTTATAACACATACATAAAACATTATTAAGCTATTTTTATTGGGATTATGAATTCCTAAGATAATAATATATTTTATTGTTGCAAATGTATTTCTGTAATAAATAACTATTATAAAAGTTTTATAAATGTTTTAGAAGACTTTTTATCGGCAAGTTTATTTATTTCATCAAGAAATTGAATTCTATTCGTACGCAACTTTAACCGATTTATTAGAACGAATTATTACATAGAACTAGTACATAGAGGAATCAAGTTTATCGTGACGTGCATGTGTAAAAGGATTAATTTCGCATCTGTTCAGAAATTTTTGCATGAGTTAAGAATAATAACTTATATATATATA